TTTCCTTTGATACCGTGGTATTCCCTGCTGAGGCCAGAACTCCAGTTCTCCAGGAGATGCTCCAAGATTTAGGTGCATTTTGCTTTTCTGTTCTTCACAGGAGTTGTGGTCAATGGGCAGCTCGTCGGGGCCAAGAAAGTGGAGAATAAGAAACTCAACACATACTTTGGCAAAATTGGTTTTTGTTTCAAAAACAAAGGACTGAAAGTGGAGATCACCACAGAAACGATAACACTGAAAGATGGATCTCACGCCATCACACTGAGCTGGTCTGACACGGGGCACATCATTAGGAAACAGTAAGTTGAGCAGCAGTTTTTACCTGCTCCCACAAGCACATAATGCTGTTTGAGATACCTTCAGGGTTCCTGCCATGGCATGGCTCACAACATCCAGGAGACATTCACCTGCAGATTAACAGTGTTGGACACCCTACAGCAGCTCTTTAGGTGATGGGATCCCTCCAAAATCTCTATTCACTGTAGCAAGAGCTTAAATTTGTAGGGCAAGATTTGGTTGCTTAAACACAGGTGGCATGAAGTGTCTGTCCTATTAGGCACTGTCCTGCCAGACCCCTGGGTACCACTCTCAAGGCTCTGATGGATCCTCTGGCATATCTGCCACCTCTGTGTGGTTGTTCTTGGATACCTGAGAGCATCTCAAGGGGCCTGAGAGCTTTTGTGTGAGCAGCTGAACTGAGCCTGCCCTTTGGTTCCTCTCTGCCAGGCTTCTCATTTCTGTGAAGAAGGAAAGCAACGTTACCATCACTGTGGGGCAGGAGATGTCCTTCATGGTTCTGCTGCACCGCGTGTGGAAGAAACACCCAGTGAATGTTGACTTCCTGGGAATCTACATTCCCCCTGAAAACCAGTTCTCTTCTTCAGCCCATGGGCTGATAGGTAAGGGCTGGGGGTCGGGTAGTGGGAGCAGCAGGGCAGTAGGAAGGGGTTTTTTTTTCTAGGTCTTTGAGTGAATTTCAAAATCCCGAGTTGGAAGGGACGCACAAGGATAATTGAGTCCAACTCTTGGACAGGACAGACCCAAGAATGCCACCATGAGCCTGACAGCACTGTCCAAATGCAGGCTTGGTGCCATACCACTTCCTTGGGAAGGCTGTTCCAGTGCCCAGCTGCCCTCTGCATGAAGAACCTTTTCTTAATATCCAGACTAAACCTCTCCTGGCACAGCTTCATGCCCTTAATTTTTTGGTGTCTGTATCCTGATGGAGAAGGTGTGAAAATTATTCAAGAAGAGAATGGGGAAAATTGCAATGTCCTGAAATTCCCAAGGACACTCCAAGACATCAGGGACCGGGAGATTATTCCTTGTCCCCAGGTGGAGAGGGTGTTTTCAGAACAGACCTAACTAGACTTGGTGACACTGTGACAGGGCTTTCCCCACCTGGCTAAACTGCTAAAAAGACCTAAGAAATAAAATAAAAATACCTCAACAAACCCCTCAAACCTTCTTTCTGAGAAGGTTTCTGTGCAAACATCTGTAATTCAGCTCTCCCCTGAATGACGGCCCTTACTGGCAGTGGCATAAAACAAAAGCAAGGGCTCAGTTCATACAGAAAATCAGCCCTATAAGCGGTGGACCCAACCAAGGCTCCTTTTAAGGTGTGGGAATCCTGAAGAGCAGAGGTTGTTTTCCCAAATAGTCTTTGCAGCTCCAATTTGCTTTCTTAGAACAAGTGTGTCGGCTCAGCAGCAGAGCTCTTTATTATCCTGGTGTGGGTGATCCCACAGCACTGGAGACACAGTGCCCTGTGATCCATGAGGGTTTTGCCTGCTGAAACTAGTCTGATTTTCCGAAAAGGCCCAGCAGCAGCTGACCTGGAAGATCTCAAAGGAAAAAAGGTCCTGAAACCTTAAAAGATCGGGATGCACAAAGAGTTTTAAACCTCTCTCTGATCAGGTCAGTTTGCCTCTGAACCAGAAGTGTCCATCCACCACCAAACACCTGGGCAACCTCCAGAGAAACCACAAGCCATCATGGAAGTGAAGGGCAACAAGTTCACTGTTACCAGGTAGGAATCATGTGCTTTATTGCTCTCTAAATCTGACTGCTCTTTTATGATGTCAGTGTCTGCAGGCTTATTGAGTCTCAAGGATCTTGGGGGGAAAAAAATCCCAATTTTCTCTCTGCTGATAGCCTGGGTTCAGCATTTGGTAAAACACTTGTTCCAAGTTGGGTTCTTTTGTATTTCAAAGAATCATTAAGACTGGAAAAGCCCTCTAAGATCATCAAGTCCAACTGTTAACCTGACACAGGTCTATCACTAAAGCCAGGTCTGTAAGCACCATATCCACATGGTTTTTTTGAACACTCCCAGGAATAGTAATTTCACCACTTCCATGGGAAGCCTGTTCCAACGACTGACAAACCTTTAAGTGCAGAAATTTTTCCTAATATCCAATCTAAACCTCCCTTGGCACAGTTTGAGACCGTTGCCTCTTGTCTTATTGCTTTTTACCTGAGAGAAGATCCCAATCCCCATTTGGCTCCCACCCTCCTGTCAGGGAGTTGTAGAGATCAGGAGAGTCCCCCTGATCCTCCTTTTCTCCAGGCTGAGCTCCCCCACCTCTCTCAGCCACTCCTCACAGGATTTGTGCTCCAGACCCTTCCCCAGCTCTGTTCCCTTCCCTGGACATGCTCCAGCAACTCAATGTCTTTCTTGGGATGAGGGGCCCAAAACTGAACACAAGATTTGAGCATGAACTGCTCTGTCCTTAGAGCTGCCCAGCACCTGACTTTGGACAGTCTGCCTGTGTGTAACTGCCTGGAATCCCCACAAAGCCCATGAGGTCACAGAACTGTAAAATTAATTGCATTTTGTGTTTGCTTCCACTTTTTGCTGGTGGAAGACACATATTTCACCGCTTTGGCTGAACAGTGCCATGGCTGAGAAGGATTACCAATGTCTTCTTGTCTCCTTGCCATGTTGTGGCTCTCATTTTGGGTGTCCTCTCCCTCCCAGGGGTGTGCAGAAGGACTACAGGACAGACCGTGTGCTCGGGACCGACGTGCCGTGCTGGTTTGTGCACAACAGCGGGAAAGGGTTCATAGACGGCCACTACAAAGATTACCTCGTCCCCCACCTCTACAGCTTCATGAAGAGACCCTGAATGCTCCACCACAAAGCCAGTTTAGTACAAAAAAAGTCTTATCTGCTCCTTCATGCCCAGACAACTCCTCTGAACAGCAGCTGTCAGCCTGTCATGCCACATCGACTGCAGGCGACTCCACTACTGTTTGCTTTGTAACTGCTCAGTGTTTCAAAGCTCTGTAACTCCCTTTTCTGCTAAGAAATGAAATCTGTAATAAAGTGACACGCTGGGTTGTAGGAGGTGTCTTGCTCTTGGCGTTGCCTGATTTAATGGGTTGTAAACTCCACTAAAAATTTCAAGTGTTGTGTAAAATCCATTTCACAGCGGAGCTGTAACAGTGCTGTGGCTCTTGGAGTGTGGGTAACACACAAACAGGCTTGAGAGTTATTTGGTACTTTAATTTAAGCAGGTTTAATACACTTCTGTGTTTTCAGACTGCTGGGAAAATGTAAGTTCATACCATGCTGGACTGAGCAAAAAGAAGGGAGGTGCATGAAGTAAAGGGAATTTAAAAGAAAAGGAACATGGGCTCTGGAATGGGTATCATGAGGAGGGTCCTGGATTTAAGGATGGATTAACCAGTGGTGAAGGATGCCCTTGAAAAAAACTGATGCTGCCATATTGCAGGAAAATTATTTAAAGTTAGTTAGACAGCCTCCAGCCTGTCTTTTGTGAGAATGTCAACATCAGAAACAGAGTTCACGCACCGATACAAATCCATGAAAGCAGGAAATGTTCAGACTATAGAAATAATCATCAATACTAAAAATTTTCCTTCCAGCGGGCTTGGTTCCCAAAGGATCCCTTACTCTTCAGGAGCATTCAGCAGTGAATGAGATCAGTAGTGGAACAAATATGCCTGTCTGTGCACCGAGAGCTGGATTTAAAACTCTGCTTTCTGGTAACCTTAGAAAAAAACATTGGCTGTATCTTTTTCAGCAGCCCTAATCCAGGAAAGGGACTCAAGCAGCCTCTTTGCCCTTCTGAACTTTGGTTTCCTTCACTAAAAGCTGGTATGGGATCTTTGTTGCAGCTGTGTCAGGAGTGAGAGGATCAATATGGTTTTAAAGTGTCTCTTCAAAGTTACTCTCAGAACTGTCAGCAACTTCTTAGAAACCATTTATTGCTTCTTTGAACTCATCCATCAGCTTTGGCCTTCCCAACATCCCAAAGCAGCCAGTTCCCTGGTTTAGCAAGGCTCTAGGTGAGGAGAGGAAAACCCCCTGAGTGTGTTTTTAAATCCCTAAATCAGTAATTCCACCATTTCCTAGCCTGTATGTGAACACAAGCAGTGAGTAATCATTCTCTGATCTTCCCCACGCAGTTTATGACTTGTCTACTATATTCACTCAAATTTGTCAGGTTCCAGAATGTCAAGTGTAATTATTTTCAGTGATACAGAAGCTCTTTTGTTCATCATTCTCCTACACATCTCCTCTCCCTCAGTACCTGTTCTTTGAGAAAGGGCAGGGCTGTTCACACAGGCCAGGTCATACAAAGAGCCTGAATTTACAGACAAGTGTATTTTCTGCCTCCAGTTCTCATAACTCTCTGTTCTTCCTGCCCAGGAACCCTGAAAAGCCACCTGATGTCCTATGTGAGGTTGTTTCAGGAACTTCAGACAGCTGATGTTTTATTAAACCTCTGCAGACTTCCAGTTTCCTGCAGAGTACCCTGGAAACCACAAATCAACAAGAGAGTGACCTTCTGAGGCAAGGAAAGGGAAGAGGTTCCAGAGTCACACAACCCTCAGGTGATGGGTTTTATTTTGCCCAGGACAACCTGCATCTTTTTTTGCACCAACCAAGCACTTCACTGTGCTCCCTGGTGGATTTAAACCAAGAGCTGCCTCATGCATTTAAAAGGCTTATGATAAGAAAGACACTGGCCTAAGAAAGGTTTATGTTTATTTCTGAAGTGCCTTAGAAATTAAACATTGTATAAAATGTGACAGTTTTAAAAAAATAAAACAAGTAATGTTGTATCATTTAGCACAAGTAAGGTTACTCATGTAGCAGAGCAACAATAGGAGCATGAACAAAGGAAAAGGCTCTGGAAAACCAGGAGAGCAACCACCAGTTCCTACCTGCACACGCTTGGCCTGGCATCCTAGAAAACCCACAAGTAACATCCATGGAGTAACCCCACACAGAGTCCATGTGGAGATAAATTGCATATTAATATCATCAGGAGCCCTGACAAACACACTGGAGGAGCGATGACTTGCACTCCACTACCACCCCTGTGCTAATCAGAAATAAACTGGTGACAGCACTTAATATACCAGACCATTCTTACAGCATCCAAGGAGCAATCCCTTGCAGCACTGGTGCCTTCCTGCTATTCCCCTAATCCCTTCCCTTGTTCCTACAGCCAGAGTTCTGTTTTGGCTGTGGATTGAGAAGGATGTTGTTTAAACTCCACTGGCTCCAACACACTCTGCCTGCCTGTAGGTAATTCTCTCTTCTGGACCTGCTCACAGACTTCAGTAAATAAAATACTCCAGCTTGCAGCTCTCTCCTATATTTTACAACAGGAAACTGAAGCAAATATTATAACTTCAATATAGAATCAGATGAAAAATCTCCACTGATAATATTTCCATAAACATTTCACGTAACAAACCCATAACTATCTTTAAATAGTTCTAGTTTGCTTCTGTTAATTTCTATATACATTATAAATACACACACAATTAAAACCCTGACATGGTAGAGTCCTGTGTCTGCCTGAAAGACATCAGAAAGATGATTTTGGGAATCAAAATCATCTCTGATCCATGGTTAGCAGCTCAGGCGAGTTTGGAAACATCTTCATACTGGATGTCTTCGACCCGGCGTCCTTTTAAAGGTCCCTGGAGAACGACAGAGTGGAAGAAATAAGGTCACAACATAAAGTTGTTTGTTTCTTGAATTCCCAATGGGGAGTTTACAGTAAGAGAGCTAAAAGGGATCTGTTCATGACACAATATTCCCTGTCCCATTATTTTCAACCTGACCAGAGAATGTGACAGGACTTCGACACTGTCCCAGAAATCCTTCCACTTTCAGGACAGTTTTTGTGTCAGGTAAAGTCCTTGCAATTTTGGGGCAAACATAATCAGCTGTTTTGAATTAATACACTGCTGTGAATTTATAAGTAGTAAAAGATTTAATTTTGAATACAAACTTATATATAAAACACCTAAAAAACCTGGTCCCCCTACAATCAGTGAGAAAATCCTCACTGACTTCACTGGTTTCCAGGAGTAGTTTCACCCGTTTTTAATTTACATTTCAGAGTTCATGAAGGAAGGGGAAACATCAACACCTACAAGCATCAGAGCTACAGAAAAATAACCTTTGCTTTCCAAGGCCAACATTAACATGATCCTTAGCTCCAACCAAAGCTCCTTCTGTCACCAGAGCATCTTCCCAAATAAATTCTCCAGAATCCAATCTGGGCTGAGTTTCTGCAGCCCTTCTGTGAATGGGATCTACCTCCTGCAAGGGACGTTTAAGAAGTTTGACTTTGAGCCTCTCTGCTTTATCAATGAGTTTAAACATTGGTTTTGCAGAGGGAAACAAAGAAGGAGCCCCACAGACATGATCACATGGTCTGATTTTAGCTCAGAGAAAAGTGATCTATAAAAACCCAAACAAACAAACAAACAAACCCAAAACAAAAACCCCAAACATAATTGCTAACCATGAACAAGACAACAACTCAGCACATAAAGCCCCATGTTCAGCCTGGAAAAGGCAGGAGAAAATTCACCTCCTCCTTGCATATTTCACATTTTTTACCTTCCCACAAAATAGTACAACAGCCATGTTCAAAATAAACATTCGAAATATTTTCCAAGTCTCTTTCAAGTTCAAAACTTGCTGAACTCAACATCCTGGCATCTTTTTAAAGGAAAACAGCAGAGAATTAGTCTGTGATGGGGGATATATGGTTGTTCTCCTACTGGTTGGTTAATAGGTGTGGGGTGACCACAGCACTTTGCACACCATCAATCCCACCTGTAAGACAGGATTAAGGATAACCTGGTTCTTTGTGAAAGCTCTCCATGTACAGATGGAAAGATCTATGCAAATGAGAGCCTGCAGAGTTTGATACTTACAGAGTCAATGGTTATTGTTACTGAGAACCTCTTTTCATTGATGGATTCCAAGATGCCTTCATTTCCCCTGTACCCACCATTTAATACCATCACTTTCTTGCCTGAAATAAAAATAGGAAAAGAGTTACACAACTTCTTCTATGGAATTGTCTCCAACTCCACTGCCTGCTGAGGGAGAGGTTTCTCCCAGCAGCTCCAGGAACCAACACCAGCTTTGCCCCACAGCCTCCCCATTTCCAAAGGGCACCTCATTGTGAATCCCAAAATCCTACATCCTGTTTTCCTGTATGCTGACAGTGCTCTGCCTACTGCTGCCCTCAGGTGCTACACACAAACAGCGGTGTGTACCAGCCAAAGAAACACCAGTGACCCAGACAGGAGGTGAGGTCAGCTTTGCTAAGTACCCACTGTTATTCCAGGCATGACTTTGGAGGGAATTTACAGGATAAATAAGACCAAGGGCTCTGCAGGGTTCCCAGATGTTCTTCCTAGCTGCTGAAGAGAGATGCTTTCATCTCTTCCACTGAACTGATTCCTAAAGCACTGCTGGTCTCCTCAGAAAAGACTCCAATTCTCACACAAAAGGACTGTGAAGACTGGAAGGGACCTTTAAAGGTTGTCTATTCCAACCCCTTTGCAATGATCAGGGACATCTTCAATGAGACCAGGGGGCTCAGAGCCCCCTCCAACCTGGCCTTGAATGTCTCCAGGGATGGGGCATCCACAGCTTCCCTGGGCAATCTGTTCCACAGTTTCACCACCCTCACCTTAAAAAATTTCATCCTTAGACCTAGTCTAAATCTGCTCTCTTTTAGTTTAAATCCATTACCATTTGGCCACTGTCCTGTTGCTACAGGCCCTGCTAAACAGTTTGTTCCCATCTTTCTTATAATCTCCCTTTAAGTACTGGAAGGGCCTCTGAGGTCTTCCCAGAACCTTCTCTTTTCCAAGTTGAACAACCCCAACTCTCTCAGCCTGTCTTCTCAGGAGAGGTTAGGGTACATTCAGGTGGATGAATTGTAATTAAGCTGAGAACAGAAGCAAACAGCCGTACCTGGTGCAGGTATTACAGTTTCTAGATGTGTCTGATCGAGCTTCAGTTTGTCTCCAGAGTCAATCACCTTCACGACCGCTGTGTATTTGTCAATCACTTCCTGTTGTGAAAGCCAGAGGCCAGTCAGAGAAATAAGACATTTTTCTCTAAATTTACATTTCAAAGCTGACAAACTTTGAAATCATGAGTCTGCACTTCTACATTGTCAACAGCAGCAGGGCCTTCTGAGCTGTGCCAAAAGCCTCCAGCTTCCACAAAGTGCTGACTGGCCTCACCCTGAAGTCAAGGCCAGATCAAAAGGGCTCCTCTTGAGCATCAGTGACTGGTCTAATTGGTCACTAAGTCTGTAAGCCCTTTCTGAAGGTTTTAATCAACGTTTGAGTCAGCTACCTTAAGTATTCTCTTAAAGATGGAGAGTAAAATAGAGGCTTCTTTTGCCCATGGGAGGTTTAGCTGGTTGGAAACCACACTGGGATCTTACCTCTTAATGAGGCAAATTGCTACTGATCATCCCCATGTCTGGCATAAACCATGCTCCACTTCTCCTATCCAGAGCTCAGTGGAAGCCAAGCCATTGGGACACACAAATCCTCCCAGATTTCCATCCAAAAAGCTGTAATTTTCAGCTCTGTGCACTCTTGTCAATCATTCCAAACACATTTGGGTGTCATTTTTGGGGCTCTTGCCAGAGACTGTTGAGCCTTGGACTACCTAATACACATCATTTCACTGGCAGTGGCTAAAAGAGAGGTAAGACTTCCAGCCTGGAGATTTTACATGCAAATGAGATCCTGCAGCTTAAATATCAGTGCAGAACTGACTAGTTTCAGCCTAAAATCCAACTGCACTGCTCTTGGTCATATCACACTGACACAGCGACTATTTTCCAGGATGGATTTGTTAATAGGGACAAACACAGGACAAAACAGCACTTAAGAAAGGATCTCTGAGGAAATGACATTAAAACAATTCAGAGATTCACTCCCTGTCCAGAATAAGTCCCAATACAGGTAAGGTGACATTTCAGCCCCTAACAGTGTTGACTTCAGGTCAAACAACCTGCACAATGATACAAAATTTCAGAAGTCACCCTATAGCAGAAAAGCCAAACCATCTTACCTTAACAACTGCCTTCTTCTTGTGATACTTCTCCCCAAGCTTTTTTGTTACAATTTTTACAATGATTTCCTGAGACATTTGAAAGGAGAGAAAAAATAAAGTAAAATGCCAAAATATACAAACAACTCCACAATCTAAGCTAATTTTAAGTTCAGGTTGCTCTGAGTCCAACCCCAGACTGAGTAGCACAGTGTAGGAAGCAGGGTTAGTAACAATGTGGCTTTCAAGAATCTTTCTTTATTCTTAAATTATCGCCTCAAGACTTCTTTGGTTTTTTTTACAATTACAGTTACACTTGAATTCAGGATATAAAATGACAGACCATAACGGGTCAAGACCAGGAAAGGGAAAAAGAGTGATTTTAGTTTGGAATCTGCTTTTGGATCTCTACACAAATCAATAGGGGCTTTAGAGATGCAGAATTGACTGTATTTGCTATAATAATAATTTTTAAGACACTTACAGGCTGTAACCAGTAGTCTCTTCGAGCTGTTCTTTTCTTCTCCTCTTCAAGCTACAGAACAACAACAAATAATAACCATTTACTTCCTTCTACTTCCACTGCAGCTTTCCCATGCCTTTTAAAAGCTGAACCAATTTTCCAACCCCACATCAAGCAGGGAATAAAAAACATCCCCAAACCCTAAATAAGGGTAAGAGTGTGTGTATTTGCTGCATAAAAATCAATCTCATGACATCCAAGAACCTGTGATAAAATGATGATGATGAGGTTTTGGTTTTTTTTTTTTTTTTGGTCAAGTGTTTCTAGATGTTTTCTTCTTTTGCAAAATCTGTATTCTTTTACTTCCAACACCTCAGTCATCTGGGGAATAGGCACAGTTGAGCAGTAGAAACAAATTCTTATGGGGAAATGAAATTATTTTGCCTGGTGTGATGTGAAAGTCTGAATTCCACATGCACTGAAGGGCTGAGGTCACTCAAAGGGACACCCTGGTAGAGTGGACACTGCCACAGGCATGGGGACACACAGACACAGATCCTGCGTGGTTATTACCTCCATGATCTCATCCAGTGCAGATTTCTTCTTCTTCTCTTTGGGCTGACTAGAGCTATGAGCTGATTCTTTCCTTTTAACTGCCCCCTCCACCATCTTCAGTGCATTCTGTCCAAGGACACTGCTGGAAGAGTAATATGGTGTTTTCACAGCAGATCTTATAATCTTATAATCTTTCCTCTGCCAAGACACACTTGAAGAACTGGCTGTGCAAAAAGGCCTAATCTGCCTAACTTCAGTTGTGCCAGTCACCTTCCAGACCCTGCATGATCAGTTCCTCTAGAGCTGACCTCCCTGGGGGGCAAACTCCATGTCCACTCAGGGTTACTGCTGGCAGTCCAGCAGAATGGACACAACTTAATGATCAGTTCACCGCTGCACAAGCTGATTGAGAAGCTGAGTTCAGAGCAGAAGGCAAAAGCCAGTCTGTAAATAAGGTTTTCAAATTTGAAAGGACAAACGTGTGGCTTTAGAGAAGCCACCTGGACAGAGGAACTCTGAGACATGGCAGATGTCTAGAACTTCTTCAGACAGCGATACTGAACCCATCTGGCAATGGGAGAAAACACATGGGAATCTGTAGAAAAGGGCTCCACCCCCAGCAAACAAATGTTACCTTCACCATCATATTCAAAACAGGCAAACAGCCTAAAAGTTAGGGAAGAAAAGAACAACCAGCACAGAAAGTTACATATCAGGGAACATCCAGGTAAAGTGAGAACTGCCCACAGGCACCCTGAGTTCAGCCATTTTTATAAAGGATATTTGAATGCAGTAAAAAAAAAATCAGGTGTTATCTCATGCTGAAAGATGAAGGCAGCTGTTGTGATGTGACAGTAATGCAACATTAATATGGCCTTAGCACAAAACTGCATGTTCTGGCTGTTGGATATACTACCAGTGGAAGATACCCAGTGGGACTGAAGATACAGAAATTGCAGTAGAAGCAACTTTTGAGAGAAAAATTGTATTTCAGAGCAAGTCTGGATAACCATAGCACAGTTTGAGAAGAAGCAGCACATTAAATTACAAATCAAATAGCAAGTACTTAAAATAACATCTCATAAAGGGTAACATACAATTAAAACTTAACAACTGCAGTGCCTATACTTAGGAAGACAAACTGTGAGGTTACTAAGGGATCCCTGGGTGTAAATAGTAAAGTAGATCTTATTTAACATGTTTATTAAGGACTCTGGGACAAAGAGTCAAGAGACCAACAACATTTTGTTGTGTTTGGGTGCGTCAACAATATGGAGGACTCAAGGAAGAATTTAACACCAAAAGGGATTGGTTTATCTAGAAAACCCTGTTTTAAAACCCACAGCATTCAACAGCACATTATGTAAGCTCAAGAACTCTGGAAAAGTTTACTCTGATTGCCTTCTCTACTGGGAACTGTTAGGAACAACAGAAGCAGAAAGGGGTCTAGCTACAATCACAGGTGACAGTTACTAATGTGGAGCAGCCACGAAAGAGTCAAATGCAATGGAAGTATCAAGACATCAGCGCCTGGAATACGCCATGGTGATGCTCCTTTGGCTGCAGGCACAAATTCAGTCAGATCCCCTGTTCAAGATCAGCTGAAACTGGAACAAGGACGAGTAAGGGATATTCAGAGGGTGAGGGGAATGGGGAGATGAGCAGTGTGCAGGCCTGGTTGTGCAGCACAGTGAAGGCTGAGAGGCCCAAACTTTTCTCTACAAGTACACTGAGAAAGCAAACACCAGAGAGAAAAAGAACTATTCATTTTAAAGGCACGTATCAACATGACAGCACCTGGTACAAACTGACCATGAACATTTATCTGGGAACTTACAAACAAGGTCCAAGCTATCAGAGCAAACAACTTCTGAAAGCTCCTCCCCTGGGATTGCAGGGCTGGTGACAGTGGAGGCTGCTCAGTGGAGCAGACACTGGTACACTTGCAGCGCTGCAGACAGGAGTCAGTGACCTTGACAGTGACTTCTGCTTGTTCCTTAATTAGAACTACTTCTAATCTTACTTGTCCAATGGGTGAGTTAAGCAGGGATTTGAGGATGTAAGTTCCTGAGGGAACAAAGAAAGCCCAGGGCTCCCATTTTGCTCAAAGGCAGTGGGCATCAGGAGCCGTACCCACAGTGGAAGTGGAAACTCCCAGCTCTTTGTCAGCCACAGGGACAAGGGAAGAAATACCTTCCCTCTCACTCCCCTCCTCAGAAAGGCTCCAACCCTATCTCTGTACCGAACTATCTGTATCCTCATGCTCTCCAAACTCCACCACCCACCACCTACGACCTCCCGGTCCCGTTTCTGCACCACACTCAGGAAATACAAGTGCCAGGCTTCCATAGATTGTGCTGTGAGCATGGAAGGTGGGAAGCAGGGAAGTCCTCCTGCACACTGTGCCAGGGAACTGGAGATCAGGCTGAACTCCACTGCTCCTCAGGAACAGCCAACAGCTGCAGAACACACCTGTACACTGGCACAGGGAAGCAGCTTCCATACATGACTCTGAAGTGATGCCTGAATCACCACTTTGCCATGAAGCGCTTACCCTAATTTTGCTTCTACACTGCCATTACAAAATTTACAGACAAGTATCTCTCATATGCTATGAATAAACTAGACTACTTGATACATGATTTTACATTCAGCCAAAGTTTAGCTCACTGACACTATTCAAGGGAGTGTCTGCATTAAGTTTCAGACTCACCTTAATCACAACTCAGTGCTTAGGGATAATTTACTCGTTTTTCTCAAAGCCTGAAATCTGTATCTATTATTGCAAAGAACTGCTTTACTGTCTCATTTTCTTCCTGGCATATATCCCATCAGATACCTTATCTAAGAGCTGAGTGTGATGAGAGAAAAGCTTTCCTTTTACCTGCAAAACATTTAATTACAATATTGCCTCACACGAAAAGATGTATGATCATCCAACAGTTCCACAGACTGCTGTAAGTTGGTATTATTTGCATTATTGATCACTTTTGTCCTGCATTGCCTGTGGTTATATGATGACAATTAAATTCAAGAGCTTTAGGAAGATTTATTTCAGGTAGATTCAGCTGCTTAAACGATGACCACAGGAAGTATTGTCTCCAATTAGACAAGGCAATCAAACCTTTTAGGAATCAAAATTAACAAGTCATGAATATCCATTCATAACAGGCAGCTGGGACTAGATGGCATCACTTCAAGAGCTTTGGCTGGATCCCTTTTCCACCCTCCCTTGGAGGAACCCATACCTGCCTATTACTTTAAGGGCATCTGCCATGAACCACATGAATTCAAGAAGGCTCCTCACAGCACACATTTAAGATACACCCATTCACCCATTTTAAATACAGAAGGAACCGTGAAGTCATTTACTATCCACTTCTGAATAACAAGGCAGGATGAGAGATTAGAATCCAAATATTTCAGGACAAGACACATCTTCCTGCCCATACAAATACTACTGTCATGGAAGTGCTTTGCAACAGTAAGAGTTCCCTTAAATTCTTTTCTCACCTTGTTTTAGAAGATGCTGCGATTGAAGTACTTGCTCCTTTGTTTAAATTAAATGTAACTAAAAAATAAAAAGACATTACTCTATTTCTATCTTTAAACTGCATTGAAGGATGTTACAATTTTTAATATCTGCAAATAGAAAAGATCATAAATTTGAAAATGTTTACTAATCTGTATTTTGGTTCAGCTTTTAAAATAAATTAATATTTATACAAAAGAATACTCTGCATTTCCAAGTTCCAGTTCTCTTTATAACTGATCTCAAAGCACTTTATGAGGCACTGAGCAGGCCTCAAGTGCTCATCTTGTTTGAATCACAAAATCAGCTTCAGTAGGTTCTAGAAAATTACATCTATCAAAACCTGATTACCTTTTTCTTCTTCATTTTCTCTGTTGAGTTCAGTATAGACTGGCATTTCCTGCCAATAAAACAAAAAACACATTTCAAGATTCAAACAGAAAACCGAGCCCAGATACAATTTCAAGTGATCATTGATTAGCTCAGTTTTAAAGATTACTGCAAGACTATCACCAGTAACTGTAATATTCAACCTGGCTTGATTCGGAGAAGATTACAAACTGAAATCACTATTTCATTACAGGCTCCTGTGCAAAATTCTCTAATTAACACCCGATACAGAGATGCTGCCTGAACTTGCTCAACTCCAGCATGAAAGGAAAAGTGGCCTCGCTGTAGCAGTTTTCTCTATCTGAACCAGCATGATCTGCCTGGTTTTTGGACAGACTGCTAACTCCAAGAAGGAAATTCTGGTATCTTTCCAAATTTTTAGCACCAAAGGCTGAGACCATTTAAATTTCAATTAGTTTTAAATTAAGAAGCAGATAATTGTGTACAATTAAATGTGATTTAAATGTACCTATCAATACCTAGGATCAAATTTGAGGTTCCAGCCGCCGGCAACAACGTGTATGGAGGTCACGGAATGATGCCAAATAAACATCTCCCAAATAACCACACCAGCACTATCAAAATAGAACTTTTCACTGTGTGGATTTGATTATGCCAGATTCCCCTGACTGTTTATCTCAACCTCCCCAGTGTACAAGGTACTTGTTATCTGCAGCCCTAGAAGTTGTGAAATACCATAAATGAAAACACGTCAGGCTGGTTACTGGATTGTTTACTCTCCCTTCCTAAATTCAAGGGTGGTTTTTAAACCACTAATCACGTGAAGAACAGTAATTATTACTCCTTTAGTACTAAAGCAAGCTGGGTACAAAGTAACCCCCAGTTAGGGAGCAAAGGAAATATGAGAGGAAGGATCTCAGCAGCACCGAATTCCCCATCAGCTTAACCAAGACGAGCTTTGAGCTGAAGGTTCACACACAGTGCAATTTTCCTCACCAGTTCTTTCCCCTCCAAACCTCTTCTAACTTGTTGTTCAATGAACTTAGCAGTCTTTTCTTCATCATCAAGGTCCTGTTTCTTCTTCCTCTCTTGTTCTTGTTGCCTACGAATAGTCTCAGGGTCCCTGTCGATGTACTGAATGTACCAGCCTTTGGGAGTCTCATCAACCTTGCAAAGACCTAGAAAGTCAACACAAGATAAAATAAGATTAATTCCTACAATATCAAGATCATTTCAGTTCATGTTCACCATACAAATGCAAAGACTTTACCAGAGACAATATAGCCCTTTGCTAAAATTGACTTTGAATTATCTGTACTATGTGTTTCTGCCCTCCAGCTACCCAGATCTATTTGGAAATAAGCCAGAGTTGTCATGAAGTGGATGAAGTGTTTTACAATGCTTTCCTTATGGAAGAAAATGTTTCCTGCCCACTGAAAACAGAAATCTCACATGTATAAACAACACACACTAACAGGATCACACTAAAGGAAATGTTCCAGTGCTGAGTTATTGTTACTGACTCTGGCTAGACTGACTTTCCAAACACTCCATGACTCGTGGATGCATCCTGTAGGACAGGGGCAACCAGAGCCAAAGTAAACTTTCTGTCACCCCACAGTGCCATTTAATCTCTCTTCCTTCCACTGAGCACAGAACTGCAGAGCTCAAGCTTTAACCCTTCCATTAGGCCAGCAATGAACATGACCGCTTGCTTCTTATCACCTCAAATAAGAAAGGATTCTGCAGTCATAAGGAGAGTTCTAGGTTCTCTTTTTAAATGGCAAACGTTGGGAGCTGATTTAGAATTTAGCAATACCTCCAGCAAATATAGACCAGGAGATGAAAAGGAAAGGCTCACAACTGATGTGCTTATCGACATGGTTAGCACAGAAATACGTTTGGAAATCTGTTAATGTATATACAGGAGCGGAGAGGAAGAAAGAGAAAGGAAGCAGAAATAATATAAATATTTACTGATCAACTATCAGCCATTCAATCACCCAGTAATTTAAAGACTTCCCATCCCCGCTCACCTTCTCTCCCCAGCCACTTTGTAAAGTCAGTCAGTGTCTCCCACTGGGTGGCATTCATGTGGATGTGTTCTCGATGGCTGATGTATTCATTGTACACGATATTATTGTGGACTCTCTTTGTTCCTGAAATACGGAATTACTGTTAATAAATACAAGTGTGGGACCCGAGACAAACCAACCAAAATGTCTTGCACTGAACCAACAGAAGACATTAAAAACAAACAAACAAACAAACAGAAAAATATTTACCAAATCGCCTCCTGAGCAATTCTAGGAAATCATTTCGGAACTCCCTTGGGGGGATAAAAAGAAAGGATTTTAGCAAAACTTTAACAATTATGAAGCACTTTTCTGTTGTCATTAACAAACAAACATCTGCATCATAAACCTGACTATTCTTTTGAGCTGAGCATGATGAAATTCAGCCACATTTCCTTTTCTCAGTAAAGCAGCATTAAATGCAAGATGTGTGCACAGAGAAAACATGGCACATGTGAAATCTCCAAGAGGATAACAGCCTCCCAAAGGGATAAAATGGAGCAAAGGAATCTCAGCACTTCCCACTAATTGATGGTGTTTCATTACCAGGTGTCCTCCCAGGTTGACTGACACGGAACACAGGGCAGGACAAAGGGCAGATGGGGCAGATGGATTGCTCATCTCCCTGCTAATTCCAGGGCTGGAGCACAAAGCCTCACTTCAGGCTCATGCTGAAGACAGCTCTAGTTATCCCAGCTGTCATGCAGGTCAGCTGGACAAAGGACTGGGAGAAGCTGGGGAATGCCAGTCACACCCCTGACTTGTTGTCTCTCTGTTATGGCTCCTTTAGCTCGTGTTTAGGGTGGCAGTCACTCAGCTGGGGCACAAAGGTCACACCTTTGTAACACAGAGCAATTTTAAACAGGATTCAGACACGAGAGAAAACTGAAATCCCTTACCTAAGTTCAAAAGCGGCACTCCCTAAATTTTCAGATTGCCATTTAAAAAGGAGCTGACACTAAAATGTATCACAATAGAGTGTCTTCAACGGGACATTATTGTGTCTTAGAGGTGTGTCTGTGCAGATCTGACACAGGAACAAACACCGGGGTAAGACTACACAGAAGACTTACTCAGAGAAGTAATCCATGAACTGCTGAGGATTTTCAGAAGCCAGCAGCAATTGCCTCTGGTGGGACTCAGACATGCAGTGACACTTGAAGCCGTTCTATAAAGCAAAAATAAGTACTTTGCATGTCTTTGTCTCAATTTGCAACACTCACAGCTGAAGAAAATACTAAAAACAACGTTTTATGAGTGAAATTTCTTGGAGGGTCCACAGAAAACACCTTAACTCAGCCTCAGCCTAGTGTGGGGTGGTTGTTCCTCCCAACCAGACAAGCCCTTACGAAAAACACCAGCTTGTAATGCAGTGAAGCTTTGTTTTGCTTGTAATCACTGGTAAGAGTACATGATTTGAGATTTTTGGGTAAAAGGGAGAGAGGCACAGAAACAGGTGAAGAATGATAGAATTAAATATCCACAGGATGGTATATTAAAGAGGCTATTCATGGAGAATGGAAAACTAAAATACAATCCCCAAAGATGGGTCAGGGCCAACAGATCTTCTCCAAAGTGGATGAGGACTTCTCCCGTTGGGGATCCCAATAGGATCATCCCATGACCAGCAACTGGGAACTCTCCAGGTCCCACCAATCTGCCCCCAAGGGACTGTGATCCACACAAGAGGGACTGAGGTCCCCCAGAGGAGAATAAGGGCGCTCTCCAGTGCTCCCCCAAAGAGCATCAGGGCTCCCCGTGCCCCCAGGACAGCAAGCCAGGATGCTCCCCAGAAGGATCACACTCCACAGATGGGATCAGAGCGCCCACAAGGGGACGGGGGACATTTCCAAAGGGAACCTGAGCCAGCCCTGTGCTTCCCTCACCCCCTCACCTTGGGAAACAAGGGAACCCACACGAAGGTCACGAGGCCCCACATTCCCTGAAGGAACTGCAGCCCCCAGAAGGGGATCAGCAACCCCTACAAAGGCAACCCTTGTAGTGGGTTGCAAGCCCCAGTGCCCCTCAACAGCAATAAGGACACTTACGAGGGAGATTGACAGGACAAGGGGGAACGGCTTTAAACTGAGCGAGGGCGGGGTTTGATCGGATATTGGGAAGAAATTCCTCCCTGTGAGGGTGGTGATGCCCTGGCACGGGTTGCCCGGAGAAGCTGTGGATGCCCCATCCTTGGAAGTGTCCAAGGCCAGGCTGGACGGGGCTTGGAGCAACCTGGGATAGTGGAAGGTGCCCCTGCCCACGGCAAGGGGTGGAAGGAGACGATCTTTAAAGTCCCTCCGACACAACCCCTCCTGTGATTCCAGGAGATCGGAGCCGCCCCGAGGGCGGGAAGACTCCAACCCGATACATCCCTTGTGCGTATCCCCAGGAGAATTAAAGGCGACTGGGGGTCCCTGTTATTAAGGAGCCGGAGCCGCCCGTGCCCCCCAGGGGCGAGCGGCTCGGCCGCGGTTACCTCATCCCGGCACTGCTTCTGGCACATCTGACAGTACCAGCGCAGCTTCTGCAGCCCCTTGGACTTGATGCGGTTGGCGATCGCCTTGGGGCTGAGGAAATCCGACTTCCCCATGACGCCGGTCCCGGTCCCGATCCCGATCCCACCGCCCCGGAAATGGCGGCGGCGCCCTGGAAGCGGATGGCGGCGGGGCGGCGCAGGCGCGCTGCGGGCGCGCTGACCTTCAGCGGGGCTGTGGTGGAGGCGCCGCCATGTTCGCCCGGGGCGCCGCGGTCGTGCTGCTCCAGCCGCAATGGTACCGGGACGGGCTGGCTCGGGCGCGCTGGGCACGGGGGAGGCTCTCAGGGCTCAGGGGGTGACGGTCCTCTCGGCTGCGGGGCGCCCCGGGGGGTCGCGGCCCTGGGCAGCCCGCGGTGAGGGGCTGTGGGCTCTGGGTGGGGGTGGCAGAGCTGAGAGCGGGAGATGAGTGCAGGGATGGAGGATGAGATTCCGGGAATGGAGGGTGAGATTCAGGGAATGGAGGGTGAGATTCGGGGATGGAGGGTGAGGTTCAGGGATGATGGAGGGTCCGTGGGGGTGGGGGGCCAGGGGGAGCTCGGCGGGGATGGGTGATTGGGACGGGCAAGAGTTAAAGGACGGATCTGTCTGTGCTGGGCAGGAGACCCAGCTCTGGTCAAGGAACGGTACGGCCTCCTCCGCTTCGCTTTGTAGTCGTTTTGAAAAACCAGTTTCGTTATTTGAAGCTTTTTTTAAATTTGCCCTTCCGATGCCCCCATTTGCCCCCTCTTGTTGCCCAAGGCGATGGATAATTAATGAATTAAAGCTCCCCCTGCGCTGGGCACTGGTGAGGCCACACCTCGAGCGCTGTGTCCAGTTCGGGGCCCCCCAGTTCAGGAAGGACATCGAGGTGCTGGAGCGAGTCCAGAGAAGGGCAGTGGAGCTGGGGAAGGGTCTGGAGCACACGTCTGACTGAGGAGCAGCCGAGGGAGCTGGGGTTGTTCAGCCTGGAAAAAAAGGAGTCTCAGGGGTGACCTTCTCACTCTTTACAACTCCGTGACAGGAGAGTGCAGCCGGGTGGGGGTTGGTCTCTTCTCTCAGGGAACAAGTGACAGGATGAGAGGACACAGTCTTAAACCTGCACCAGGGGAGGTTTGGTTTGGACATTGGGAGAAATTGCTTCACAGAAAGGGTGATCAAACTTTGGAATGGACTGCCCGGGGAGGTGGTGGAGTCACCGTCCCTGGAGGTGTTTAAGGAAAGACTGGATGTGGCACTCAGTGCCATGGTCTGGGTGACAAGGTGGCATTTGGTCGCAGGCTGGACTTGATGGTTTCAGAGGTCTTTTCCAACCTAACTGATTCTGTGAAATTACATGGATGAGGGAAGGAAGAAGGTGTGCATGCAAACCACAGGTCAGAGTGACTTGTCCCAGCCACAGATGGTTTTTAAGAGACAGCAGATCTTGACTTTATAACTCTCTGAAAGGGACCTGTCCTTGACAGGTGTTGGTTTGCAGGAGAACTAGTGAATTATCCTAATTTCTCCTGCATTCATTTTTAGGGGCCAAGTCAGGAATATGGCAACGCTAAAAGACAGTAAGTACAGGTTTCGTTTGCTTTTGAGAGAGGGAAAGTGTTGCAGGAAAATCGTATGTTAAAATGCAATTTTGATTAGCTTCTCTAGGGTAAATTGACTGTGATGCACTGTAACATTTGTATGTGGCCTCCAACCCTTCTTCTGTTGAACAAGTGTCCTTCAGAAAAGGCATTGCTTAAGGTGGTTTTGGAACTAATTTAGATGTCATCCCATAGTTTTACTCAAACATACTTTAAGAAAAATTTTATTGTATGTGCTAAACCAGATTTTTTCTCACCTCTGAGAGTTAATTTAGTTTCTTTTATGCTTATTTCCTCGTGCTTTTATGCAGCATTTGGGGAGAAAAGGTTGACTGGTTTAGTTTGACAATGCTTCCTTAAGTCATTCCTCACAGGTTTTTATACAGGGATATAGCCTTGGAATTGTGCTGCTCTGTAGGATAACCTGTTTTGTTTTCCTTTTACATCAGTGTTTTTATGAATCTTATTTTGCCACAGCCTGAACAGGGAAGGAAATTAACTCTATGTCCTCGTACTATGGGGCCTCCTTATTGTTTGTTCCTTCCCCTTGTCATCTGGGAAAGATGACAATATACAGGTAGATGTGGAAGCAAAGAGACAATAAATAGACTTTGTGTTGGGCTAATTATTAAATAAATGCTGTACCTCGAGTAAAAAACATCTCCATTGTAAAGATGAATCTGTGTTAGCCACACTCCTCCTCTTACTGCTTTCTCACTGCAAATACTGAGGGCTTTTGTGAGGTTTGTTTGTGCACGGTCTGTTTATTTATTTTTTCTTCTTTGGGGAACATGGTGAAATATTTTTGGATGGCTGTTGCTGGCATTTTATTGTTTGTTTTTAAGTTATTATGCCCAGAACAGCACGTGACCTTCAGCTCTTAACTTTGTAGTCACCAGGCGTTTGAAGTCCATCAAGAACATCCAGAAAATCACCAAGTCCATGAAGATGGTTTCTGCAGCCAAATATGCACGAGCTGAGAGGGAGCTGAAGCCTGCAAGGATCTATGGAACAGGAGCTCTGGGTGAGAGAAAGCTCTTGCACTGTGGGATGTGGGAGCAGAAAAGGAGGTTTTCATGGTGGTGATAAAATGCTGAGAGTTTTTAACCTTCCACGGTTGTTTTTATTAGTCTTAAAAGCACCACAGCTCAGAATTTCCAGCCTGAGTCTGTCTGTTAATGGAATTGCGTCCAATCTCTGTAGCACCTACAGCTAATTCCATTAACACCCTCTTGTGAACTCTTGTGCTGCACGTGGTCCTGGGGCACGGGACTGGCACAGTGAACTTCACTGAGTGATGGCATTGATTGTGGGACATCTGGTCAGAGATGGGGCTGGCTTTGAGTTGTTTCTTGCTCACCTCTGGTCTGATCTTGTGCAAATTTGGATGATTGTGAGGGAGGTAAAATTCATCTGGCTGAGATTTGCAGCCCCTTTAGAAGTGGTTTTAGTTAGAACAACGCAGAGGTATTTTTTAAGATTTAGTTGCTTCTTGGCACCCTTGAAAATCTTGACCATCTTTTTTTTTTTTTTTTTTAGCTCTTTACGAGAAAGCAGAAATAAAGGCGCCTGAGGACAAGAAGAAGCACCTCCTTATTGGTGTGTCCTCTGACCGAGGCCTGTGTGGTGCTATCCATACATCCATCGCTAAAACCTTGAAAAATGAGATTACCAACCTCTCAAACGCCGGGAAAGAGGTTATGGTGGTTGGAGTGGGTGACAAGATCAGAGGCCTGCTTCAGAGGTAAAAACTGAAACCATAGAAGGGTTTTTCTGGAGCTTTGATTTTTTTCTGTGGTAGAAGTTTCAGGACTGCTTAGAAAACTGTGTTGGCATTGGCAGGAAATTGCATTAATGGGAACTGTACTAAATTCAAGTTCTTTTAAAAGAAATCTGCAAATAATCCTAAAAGGGGTTTAGATCATCTGGATATTTGTGAAACTGCTGAACAGCACTATTATATTTTTGAAATAAATGTCTGGCAACTGGCACTGTTACAAGTGTGTGTATTAATAAGGTATCATAATTTGACTGAAAAGTAGCAAAATTTTTCTCAGACCCTAATTCAGTGAAGTGTTTAGTTCTGAACACTCCTCATTTGCAGTAGTAAGTCAGTCTTGCTGCCTCGTTGTGCTTTAGAGCATCCACATGGGTTCTAACACAGGTTTGCTGTTGCTGCAGGACACATGCCAACTATTTCCTGCTGACATTTAAAGAAGTGGGACGGAGACCTCCAAGCTTTGGGGATGCTTCAGTCATCGCTTTAGAGCTGTTGAACTCCGGGTATGAGTTTGATGAAGGCTCTGTCATCTACAATCGCTTCAGGTAAGATTGTCTTGAAACTGCACCGGAAAAATATTGGGTAGAAAGCTTTAAACAGCACATTGGCCCAGTGAAGTGATACGAAAACTTGGCTGTGACTTGGCGTCTTCACTTCTTGATTTTGTTGTGTGTGATGAACTGTTGGTTTCTTTTTTTTTCTGATAGCTGTGGTTGGAATTCCCTTTTGACTTGTGTAGTGGGTGCTGTTCTATTTACAGTCAGCACATCGTTATATCGATGTGGCATCCAAGATCTTTTCATGAGGATTATCACAGAATTTTGTGGCATTGGAAGACCAGAAGTTGTCTATTCCAATTTGATTTTAAGTGCTCAGTTTAGTTAGTTGAACTGAAGCCACCTATGCTGTTTTTGGGCAGGTCTGTCATCTCCTACAAGACCGATGAAAAACCAATCTTCTCCTTTGAAACTGTTGCCGGTTCTGGTAAGTAGGGAGCTAGAAACCATCAGTTATGTGCAGTGATTAATCACAGAAAAAGTGCTCTGAACATGGGAATATGGTACTAAAACATCTTATTTTGGTGCATGTATCGCATGTTTAACAGATGGTTTTATCTTGGCCAAGATCAGTCCAAGGCTGACTTACCAAGGTGCTGCAGGACAGGGAGGTTAAAAAGAAAGGTCATGTGAATTCTGCTTTGAGATTCTGTCTCAAGCAAGAATTGTTCATATGTGAACTGTGTCAGTTCCAATATTTTCAGCGCTGAACAGCCTGAGTGTGGAGTGACTTTGCATCGCTCAGTAAAAACACCCCAGGATGTTTCTGCAGCATTGTATGGGAAGATTAAACATAATACGGCAATAATGTATTTTATTCTGGTCAGAATCTGACCTTCCTAATGTTAAATAGAATTTAAACATGTAAAATACTTGGCAAAATTATAAATAGCAGGGAGATTATGAAAGTCCACATAATATGTGGAGAAAATCCCTCTGTGCTGCCTTAAGTATTGAAGCAGCCCAGCCTAGCAGTCTTCCCCATGACATTGTATTATTTTGCTGGAGGTAGCTTGGATTTCTCTGAGTCTGCTCTTTTCGTCATTTGCAGAAAGCCTAAGTATCTATGATGACATTGATGCTGATGTGCTGAGGAACTACCAGGAATTCACACTAGCAAACATCCTGTACTACTCCCTGAAGGAATCCACCACCAGCGAGCAGAGCGCCAGGATGACCGCGATG